GTGGGACAAAAGTAGAATCATCCCACAACACATCACAGGACAATGGTGGGAACTCTGAACTAGTGAAACTAATACACAAGTCTGAGGTGGAAGAGGGTGATGGATAAATGGGGAGACTGAGGCAGAACAATCGGAAGACAAAACAGATTTCACAGGGACCCCTGGAAGCTCAATACACGCAACTCCTCCAAGGGAAAAATGCCTTCCTGGGTACAGGCTCCATCCACAAGTAGAGGTACGGCAACATCTGATGCAGCTACAGCAGGGAAAGATTAGCTGGCCCTGGACAGTCCAGAGGAACACTAACAGCAGTACAAGTCACAGCCTAGTCTGGAATAACCTCCTGCATATCCATTAAGTGAGCATCTCGAACATTTAGGCATGAAACAGTTCTTCAAGAAATGCCCTTCTTGACTACATCGTCGACACAGGTGCATCATGCCGGAGTAATTAAACATAAGAGTGTAGTGGTCCACATGAAGAAAGTTGGGGATGGAGGAAGACATTCATATGCACCCGCTGATTTCCGGTGAGAGCATCAGGAGTTCCAAAATAGTGTTCGTGTTCAATGTGGACTACACGACCATAAGACAAAAGAGTTGTAACAATTGTATCCTTGCTGAATTCACAGGGGGCGAAATGTACAGTAACCCACTTCAAATTGGAGCCAGCAGGGTGTACAGGAATCACTTCATTCATATGATGGAACAGGCCACGTTCAAGAAGCTTCTAGGCGACGGGAACACCAGAAAACTTTGCGATATAAGCACCACCACCGAGATGTTGAAGACAGAAGAAGGAACTATTGCCCAACTCACAATGAAATGAAGTTATAACATCACTAAGAAAGGCGCTTGAAATCGTACAGACCTTGGTCTGGTCCGCAGTTCACTGCCAGTAGACATAATCGAGGATCTCCCACCACAAATGTCCAGATGAAAAACATAACTTCTGAGACCCTAAGAGACCAAGAACCACGAACAGAAAATAACTAAGCATTATAAACTAATTTTAGTAAAACTCCACAAAGTCAAGTTAAAGCGATATCGCGAAAGGAAGAATATGTTTGCACACGATTCCGAACATTCGACCACATAGCTCCAGGCTCGGCTCCACTGAAGATTTGAATAAAAGACCATTATATAATGTATATAATAGTTAAGAAACTGGTGTTATTAAACTCGGACATCAATAACATGTATAGAGCTCTGTCAGTTGCATAAAGACTTCAACAGCTTTATCTTTAATATTAATTTAGATAATTCTGTACTTATTTATATATTTTTAGTGAAATTGTTTTGTGAAATACACGATGTTTGTGCAATGAAATGTTCAAAATTGTCGTTGTATACTAACATTGTGTGTTTTTATCTACCGACAGAAAATGAAGTTATTATAAAATATTTATAGAAGTATAAAAATACCTTAAATATCTTCATTCTACTATCACGTGATAGTCTAATTACATATTGCTCTATAGTTGGAAGCTACATTTTCAAAGTTTTGATATAGATGTTTGGTAGATAGAGCTAGTAACATGATAATGATGCTACATTCAGAATTTTTATAAATGTAGTCCTACAATGTTAATAATCGAGCGACTACGAAGTGTATATAAACATGGATACTTTATTGAAGAATGAATGAAGCATTGAGTCAGTTACACTTCATTTGGAGACTAAAAAACTTAGCGTAATATTCGCATCACTGTCAGTTATCACATATAAAATCAGTTCATTACTCAATCAATTACCCATGAAATAGTAAAAGTAGGTTTGTTTACATGTTAGCGAGTAAATTTTTCTTGAAAGTGAAAATATTATGTGAACTCAGGCCTACAAGTAAAACTGTATAAAAATAACCTGTGCTGCAGGCTATTAATGCTAAGAAAGGAATAAACTAATTTGTCATCATTAAGTAGACTGAACTGAATATTTTCAAATAATTCAAAATAATGCGATCAATGACAGAACAAATTAGAAACAAAATAATATTTTAACTATTTTTATGGGCATTTTCAAACATGTTTTATTAGTAAACTAACCTTGCCCGTTCCAGCAAGAAAATGATGTTTTGAAGTTTCGTAAAAACCTCGTTCAGAGCGCATTTTTCTAATTACGTCATATAAACTAAACATTACGAAAGATGATTCAGCAAAAGACAATATCAAGTAATAGTTTTGTTTTCAGTTATTTTGTAATATCATCTTAGAACTTTAAACATATATTTTCTCCTCTACACTTTTATGCCATCAGCTGTGTTGATTTCCATATTGAAATTATCTGTTTTCACTCTATTCTTCCCTCTAGTCTTTCACTGCTAAATTAGGGACGGCTAGCGCAGATAGCCCTCGTGTAGCTTTCCGCGAAATTCGAAACAAACCAAACCGTTGAACTTAGACTTCGAGATTAAGCAATTGTCGGAATACTAAGTTTATTTATTATACCTGCTAATGTGTGGTTATATAATGTGAAAAACTGAAAAGTGGCCAATGACACTTCTTCGCCTATCCAGTGTATAGATTTTTCTCTTAGTGACTTTAAAGCATGTTCACACCAACGTGTTTGATATTTTCACTATGATGTAGGTCCAGCTTATCTCTGGGGTCGGCGACGGTTTTTGGATTGACTTTTTAGGTCATGTGGTTAGAGATTATTATTGTGTTATTCGCCTTGCATGTTGTTTTTGGTGAGTTATTATCATTTATTCGGACTGGCATGACTAGGTAAGGTAGTTCGGGCGCTTGAGTCGTGAGTTCGAATCCCTGTCCCACCAAAACTTTATTACAACGTTTTGACTACATGTGTCGCCTTCACCAAGTAATTAACGTGTATTGTGTGAAATACTGAGTGAGCATTTTGTTCCAATTTAGAAAACGTGTAGGGTGACATCTGTTTTGATTTAAATTAAGTTTTAGTTCACGAATAATTAAGGCTTCTTTTATCTTTCTTCTATTAATGTTCTTTTCATTGCATAATATTTTAAAGTTGTTAATGTTCATTGGATGTTGACTGTTGTGCTGTTAAGAAAAAAAAATGAAATAAGGATGAATTTGTGACGAAAGGTATTAAGTGTTTAATTTCATGAGCACGGATCAGCTAATCATCACCAGCCACCGCCAACTCTTTTAACAACGAATAGCGGGATTGACGCGTCACTTTATAACGCCCCCAAGGCTAAATGGGCGAGCATGTTTGGTGGGACGGAGATTCGAACACGCGACCCTCATATTGCGCGTCAAGCGCCCTAACCACCTGGCCAAAGTCAAGGGAGATCCAGTTCAATCTACACTTTGATCAACGTGTTATTGGGTTATACTAGTTTCAGAGAATTCTACTCCTCATCAGTAACATTGAACCCAAGTTAATCAGAGAGAGAGATAAGCTGGACTTATGTTATTGTGAAATGTATCAAACATATTGTTGGTGTGAAAGTGCTTTAAATTAACTATGAGAAAAACCGATACACTAGACTTTGCAACTTTTCCGTGATTATTTCCAACGCCCCCCCCCAAAAAAAACACATTTGAATTAACATTATGTTATGTCTCCGTTTGTTAATTAACTTTCGTAACTTTGTTCCAACGAAACTTTAACGACACAAGTCTTTACTT